CAGGGCAAGTGGGCGGGGGGGAGGGTGTCAGGAAGAGGGGGTGCTGACCGACCCACGACAGCTCCCCAAAACTGCTTGTGCTGCCCACAGACCCAAATAATTGCCCACCACAAGTTTTCTTCAGATTTTTGAGCACACATGTGCATACATGTAGGAGCTCTTCAACTAAATAAAACTATAAATATCAATAAGTGTTGCCACATACTGTATCTAGCACTAAAAAACGTGGTGGTAAGCTGCCTTTAATTTTGTGAACACAGCCAATAAAACTCTTGAATAGAAACCTTACTGTTTTTACGTAGCTTTCACACCATGAATGGAAGTGGAAGTCTGTTCATTTGAAATGTTTTCCTCCATAAGGGAATTGTCCACACTCCATATTATGAACACTTTTGGCAAAATATATTAAACTTGTCAAAATATCATTTGTTTTTCTAATAAATTAGATACATTAAAATTAATATAAAAATGCTGTTCAATTTATCCTCTGATGAAAATTAATATAGCCAATCTTTATACCTGCTCAGTATAGGGGTTTACTATGGAAACCAATAGAACTTTGAAGAACTACAGAACTAAATGAAACTAGAATTTAGCTTACAAATCTTTGTTCGCTGTCCCTACTCCATGTTATCACAGGACTGTTTTAAGTTTTCAGAAAGTCATCACAGAAAGAAGCATGTTGTGATATTGATTCCAAAAAGCCCCGAACAATTTGTAGTTTGTCATTTTGTGATGTCCGATAATTATGCAGAGACTTTCTAAGGTAAGAGAATGTTGAAATCACTTGTGCTTGTTTCCAAAAATATAGAGTTAATTCAGTATGTCTGGAGTTGGCTGTTACAGTTCACTTGTAACAGTATGGCACAAAGTTGCTACATACTCAGACAAATAGCTTGTGGATCAGTATCAGTCTGTGTTTTTTCCACTTGATTTATTTTCATAATAAACCAATTAAAAATACAAAAGACAAGGAACCCAGAATCCAAAGGGCTCCATCATTTAAAAATTTGTCTTTAAATACAAATTCACTCTGGAATATGAATACATATAACTTTAGACTTCTAAACATAATGATCTTATTTTCATCTATCAAAATTTTTTCTATAGAAACAAGTTAGTTGAAAAACTTCCTTGTAAAATTAAATTTACATTATTTACATATGAAAAAAGAATTCTTAAAAGTATTAATCTCAGACTACCAGCATAAATTGTATACAATTCACTTTTCATCCTTACAAAATAATCTGAAATAGAAAGCAAGATAGTTAAAATCTGTAGCCACAAAATGGTATAAAATAATTGCACCAGTAGTGATGCCACTAGTTTCTGTAATTAAATATATTTGATGTGTTTATATAGCAAAAATATAGATCTGATAATGTCCATTACTGGTGTAAATGTTTTGTGTACTCTCAACAGGAGTGTATTCTTATTTTGCACACCCATTAGTTTGTGCAAAAATGCAACAGGAGGATACCTGGTTGCTACTGTCTATTACTTAGACTGATTTAATTAACTGATATGAAATAGATATTTGGTAAACTTGATAATCAAACTTCATATACATGGAATGAAAATGATGTTCTGTGGAAAGTAGCTGTTGCTTCAAAAGTCAAGTGACATTTGCAAATTAAACAGAAAAGGCTATAATATGTTATTGCAATGTAAATTAGCAACAGACAGAAAATGCTCAGTATATAAAAAGTTCAGAACTTTGGCCAAAAACTCAAGAGAAAGTCTTCATAGCATAAAATGCATGTTCCTTCATGCTTGTATTTTAAAACATGAGTAGTAATATATCATTTTATTTTTATGATAACATTTAGCAATTAACAGAAAATCAAAACCCAGTCTAAAGCATGACTTCTAACAATTAACTGCAGAAATTAAGTAGCTCAGTAACACCTGCTTTGGAATTAAATCATATATACAAGAACTGAAAAGGTCCCATCACATTTATGAAAATCGTCATCCACAGAGGTTGGTTTTTATTAATATGAATTTGGTTCCAACTGTTCACTTTCTTGTTTTACTTGTATATTAGCTGGGAATCCATTGGAATTGGATAACACCATCAAAAAAGGCTGCTGCTGGAACCTCTGCTCCGACTGCTCAGTATCTTCTATTTTGTTATCTTCTGTCTCCTCTTTTACCATTCCTTGTATAACCGTTTGTTTGGTTTCTGGTGCTTTAATTACTGAAGTGATCACGGTGCCAGAAGGATGAGCTACCATCTGTGAATTGCTGGCTGAGAAAGTTACCACAGGGGTAGGAGCACTGAAAGATGGAGATGAAGCCATATTGACTGTTCCATTGCAAATGGTTTGCACATTGCTGGTGAGAACCTGCTGAACTTGAGCAGGGGTAAAGACAATGGATGAAGGAGGAGACACTGGTTTTGGAGACTGCAACATGACATTTTCTTTAAGAACTGTCATGGACTGTGAAGTAGGAATGGCTTGTAAGATAAATTTTTGTGGAGTTGTTGCTGATGCTGGATCTGTACTGGCTATCACTGTTGTAAGAGGCACTGTTTGGAGTGTTACAGTGTGAAGTTGCTGGTTTCCAGGTGAAACAACCACTGGAACTTGGGCTGGGGTCTGTAAAGTCCTAGCAAAATTAGAAAACAGAACATGTTAGACTGTTCCCAGATTCCATACTGAATAGTCACTTGGCAGCAATCTACTGATATTATTAATCTGGGGAAAAAAGTAAGGAGGCTGCTTTCCAGCAAACAAAACAACGTAACTCCAAAAGGGAAGGTATCACAGTTGAATGTTAAGGCATTAGTAAACCCTTCCCAGAATTGTGATCCTGCATTTAAAGCATTCTACAATTAGTGAGAAAGACTGGGAATCAATTAATTCAGTTTTCTGTATCAATCACAGCAAGCTGGTCAGTCCTGAACACGATACTTTACTTTTCCATTGTCTGTTTCACAGATTTGTCAGCTGGAAACAAAAAAACCTATATAATTCAAGATGCAATAACAAGCAGTCCCCACATCCTAAAAAACCTTGTCCATGTCCTTAATTCTGAACATTTGCAAAAGCGTTTATACAGTGTGTGTGTTCCTGGGTCAGAACTTCCCATTCAATCACCTATGTACTATGTTCTCATCACCTTGAGCTGAGTAGAACTTGGTTCCACAGTCTTCTGTGCTTTGTTAGCTATCCAATCTGTGCTCCAAGGTGTACAAACTACCATCACTCATTAAAACATCAAGACATTGCAGTGAAATATGGTGGTTTAGAAGTGTAACTGAAGTCTGTGAATATTAATGTAATTATTCAGTATAGCTATTGGCTCTGAAATCTTTTCCCTTGGTGAAGTAAATGATATAACAACAAAAATTCAGTGGTACTGAATTTCAACCATTCTCTGGGCATGTGTATTTGTAGCACCCTGAAAGGGCAATTTTACATTCAAATTATCATACTTTCAAATGCATTTTTCTTCAGGCCTCTTGCATTATTTCCTAGACCAACCAACATTGATACATCACCCCGAAACTGGCTAACTACACATTTATTTTTACAGTCCCTTTCCTCCCCCAGAAAACAAGGGCAGTTTTCATTCTTTAACCAGCTAGATTTAAATGACCAGGACACAGTTTCCACTCTACTGACCAGCTACCTATTCCAGCTCCCCCAGTCTTCCTGACAGTCGTCTTACATCATTTTTCCCCCATGTGGTTTCCAAGGTGTCTCTATCCTCTCTACTTCCCTTTCACTATCACTTTCCCTTTATTTTAGCCAAAGCATTCCAACCTTTCCTCTTACTTTACACTTCTGTATAACACATTACTTTATTTTTATATTCTTCTACATAAAATGGCCCCAAATGGATTAGCTTCCCCTCCCCATTTAAGCTTTTTCTACCCTTTCTATCAGGTCACTTTGTACTGAAGGAACAAATCTGGACTCTAGTGCTGATTAGTTCATTTGGTTGCTAATCACTACATTGTACACCTTTTTTTTTCTTCTAAATGTCTTCCCCAGACTGTGGGGTGTACCCCCAGGTGGAAGCCTGGCATGTGCAAATCATGGCAGAAAACAGTGGTGCTACCATAGTAAAGTTGAGCATTCTTGCTCTTCCCAACTTCCACTGTCAGTGGCAGGGGAAAATCAGCAACAACGCTGAAGTAGAGGGGCACGAGAGTGCCTGACTTTACTATGCTGGGGCATAAACCCACAAGGTTTGGGAAACTTGGCTCTAAATGAATTATCTACATCAGGGGATGGCAATGTTTTCCGGCAGCGGACCAGAATGACCCAGCTCAAGTCAAAGCTCAGCTGCTGCCACCACTTCTCCACATGACTGCCTGGCCATGGTACAGCATGGACAAAGATCCATGCTGCCAAACACTACTGAAAACCTTGCTCTGCAGGCTGGATCTAATAGCTCTGTGAGCCTGGTATGGCCTGCAGGGTGAAGGTTGCTGACCCCTGATTTATGCCTATTTTGGAAGACTTCACTAAATGCTTATCTTGCTGTACTCTCCTCAAGGCAACTCTCCTACTTAATCAGTACTCCTTGTATTGACAAAGCCCACTTGCCTTGAACAAGTATAATCATAGAATTGGAAGAGACCTCAAGAATCAACCAGCCAGGCAGCAGGTGGACACCAGCCTAGACCCCAGCCTTGGAAACCCAGCACTCTAGCTAGTGAGCTATCACCCAATACTTTTAAGTTCTGCAGAATCTAATGTTTCATTTAAAAACAAGTCCTAATTGTCACAATTGCAAAGAAAAGCTTCCAATTATAAGACAAATTAAAATGATACTGTGGCTGCAGGGCAGTGTGACAGCAGCTACTGCTGTTTCCTGTTCAGCCGGCATGGGGAGTTCTGCTTACACTTCCTCAATTCAGCAACAGAGCCAATGAAACAGCACCCGCAACGACTCTTGCTGAACCCTCTCACGTCAGTTGCCTGGGATCAGGCCTAGTGGTTGAGCTCAGAAGATTCCCTGGTCAAGGCTTGTTTCCTCAAGAAAGCTGAGGTTAGGACCAGTGTTTTCCTCAGCTACCCTGATCATAGCTGCATACTTCTGCAGGCAGAACCCATCCTACTGAGCCTGCCACATAGGCATAACATGAAGAATAGGGGAGGTGTCTGTATTCTCCTCTCCTTCAAGAAGAGGAACTCAACAGCAGCAGTGGTTTCCTCCCTACGGGCCTGTCAACACTAGTTTTCTTTCTGGAAATTTGCAAACGTAAATATCCTGAGAAAAACAATTAGAAATGTCTCTCATAGCCATCACAAACCAACGAACTACCCAGAGTTATTTGCCAATTAAGAAAAGAATCTCTAGTGCACCTCTGCAGAGACAAGGGAAGAAACACTGCAAGCAGAACAGCAGTGAAAGAGAAAAGATGACTGGCACCTGCCATTAGGATAAGATTTAAAATATCTGACTGAGCAGGGGATAACAAGGCAGCTCATCTTCTACCCAGGAGGCAGCCTGAAAGGGTACAGAAAGCTACAGCAGCTATGAAAAGCTGCAGCTGAAAATTAATTGCATGACTCAAAACCAGCCACACTGTGCTGATGTGCCACACCAGTGCTTGTCCAAAGCTACTATCTTGTTCTTCAGCATCTCAGCTTTCATTTAAAATGAAACAACAAGACTTCAGGTTTAATGGCTGCAAAGGACAACCTGAAAAATGTTAATCTAGTATAACCAAACCAGAGACAAGGCTGCAGATGGCCTAAAAGAATAGTTCTAAGATGCACTGGCTGATCCATTTGGCTCAGTGCCCAGCAATAATCATTTAAAATGTGAATGTTAACTATTTACTGGAACAACTACGTGGTTGGGATAAAGTTAAATAAAATTTGAAATGCAAGGCACTCGGTTACCTAATGAAGAATATCTGGCATTCTAAAGCTTGTCTAGCTTTATCCCAACCAGGGAGTTGGTCCAGCAAAAGATATCACCCACAAAAATAGATATCACCCTTGCCTCTTGCATAATTGCTGGTCTATCATAGCTACAATACCATTCCAACATTACCAATGTTAACTATTTCATTCCCCAAGAAAGAAAGGAAGGTCATAGGTCTGCGCAATATACTGTAACATTGTATCCTACTGCCAGGGATAGATAACTATGAAATATCATCTCTTATTTTCCATCCCTGCAAGCAAGAAGCCAAAAGGCACCCATGACTATATTCTGAAAAGCTACACAATCTACTGTGGGCCACATCTCATTGTAGGGACTCACACAGGAAGAGCTGGAAAAATGCCACCACCTTTTATTCTCCATTTCACCTCTGGTTAATTAATTTGTAGGGGCAAAAGGAATTCCCAAATGGGGATGGGAAGAAAAGTTTGAGGGATGAAGATGAATGGTAAGTTAATTGCAAAGTGACAAATTTAGGATGATGAGTAGTGACAGAGTGGGAAGACAGAATGAAAGGAAGTGAACAAACGTGTATGATTAAGTAAGCAGAGGAGGAGGACGTTTAACACACATCTGGAAGGTCCTTGAGCACTAAAATAATAAGGGTAGTATAAGAACAGGAAGGGAAAGTTAGTAAGTAAGAGGCTGGGAGAGAAGGAGGCCTGTGAACCAGGCAGGATGCACACTGGTGTTGTATGGCACTGTATGGATCAATATTCACAGTAAAGGAAATGTTGTTCCTGAGGTAATTACAATATTCCAAGATAAACTTACCAGGTTGATGCAGACACTGAAATCCATCCTGGGCTAAAAATGTACTTGGTTGACCTTATAAAAAATTACACTGAAAAATACGCTGATATTTTATTCATTCATAAAAATTCCTACTCGAGAAGCTAGAATTTTTCTAGGTTCTAAAAATGTGTAGATTGCTCTGTTGGAAAATTTCAACATCAATAATGCATTTCTTAATGTAAGTGGAAAGTCTCTGCATAGTATATTATAAGCAAAGATCTTGGTTTTCCCCCATAAAACATTCTCTCATAAACCCCCCCAAATCCTTTATTAAAATTAAAGGCCCCTCACTCCCCCCAGCCCTGCTAGGGCCCCTTGCTCCCCCCCTCCACAGCTCCCTTGCCCCTCCCACCCCCACCCCCAGCCCTGCTGGAGGGGGCTACCCGCTGCCAGAGCTACAGGGCCAGGGACCCAGGTCCACGTCTCCTGCCCCTGGCAGGAAGCGGAGACTGCTGCAGTGAACAGAGCCCAGTTCCCCACCCTGCTGCCTGCCTGTTATGGCGGGCAGGGTGATACCAGCTCTCCACTGCCGTGTGCACTCCTGGGGGGGGGGGGGGGGGG